ACCCAAATTGAAAGTCGCGGGCAAGTTGCTGCAGACACACACATACACACAAACACAGACAACCACGTGACAATATGGGTTTTAGTGCAGCAGCTACGCAGCACAAAACGCATAAAAACGCGTGCTTCGATGAACCATGCGTTTTTAAGTTATTCTTAAATTCAACTTTAATAGAATTTACTTTTGACCTGTAAATCAATTCTCAAAAACAACCTGAAATCAGCCATGTTTCCTTTCATTTCATCGCCCGATATATTCTTCTGCTCATCGACAACCAGCCGGCGCTTACGTTTCGGTCTGCCCGGTTTCTCAATCCCAGCCACGGCTGCCACATCCAAAGGCTCTAGTGCAAAACTCTCGCTGCCCAGCGTGCTGGCTGCTATAAGTAGAAACAGTTGACTACAAGTTAAATGGACTGTCAAGACTTTTTGCTAATTTAAAAAGGCTCAAAATTACTCGGTGTTGGCTGCACCAGGTCTGCGAATGCTGCTGTCGCTGCTGCAACATCGTCCGTTTCCATGGGTATATCCTGTTCAGCGCGCGGCGCCTCCATTGCGTCCAAACTTTTGGCCAGCTCGTTTTCATTGAAAATAACATCTGAAAATGTGGGTTCTATGCTTCATATAAAACTTTTCAGATGGTCCCCATTGCAAAATGGTGACAAAATACGCAGCTACCTTCAACACAAGTAGCCAAATAAAATCCCAAATTCCCTCGTCTGTCTTGAAACAAAATAAGGTGAAAAGCAGACTTCGAGCAATCTCGAAAAAAAAAAAATCTGGACCGGAGACAATAATATTTAATTGCTGTAGGCCTGGTTAAAGCTACAGCCCGTAAGAACTGCACGCGCATTCTTTGCATTAATGTTTTGGTTCAGGTAGGAATTGGGGCATTTTGGCCAGAACAGACGTAGAGTTACAACGACATAATTAGGGTGCTGCAGTACGGACTTCGGTGCGCGTCAGGATTACCATAAATTTGTTTGGCCCTTCCAATTGGATCACTGAATTTCAACTATCCCAAATTTCGTCTGTATTTCAACGAAGACAGCCTGTCTATTTGGAACCCGGTAATTTTTGAAAAAAAATAAATGGCCAAGGCACGGGCTGCCCGTGCGAAGATGCGTTTTTTGTATAGCTCCCCGCAGATTTTTGTCGCTAACAGCACTGGTTTTTTCGGCAGATGCTTCTAGCTAAAGGAATTTCAGACAGGCCGTCAAGACTGTTAGGAAACATCCCTTCAAAATTCCAGTCTTCTAGCTTCTCAGATTCCCGAGTTAGCGACTTGCCCGAAAAAAACTTACGTGGGTACCACGCTTACCCGGGGGTTGGGTTTGAGTTCATTAATACCCACTTGGACGGGGAACATCCTCTTAAGATTTCAGTCTTCTAGCTTCTCAGATCCCCGAGTTAGCGACTTACCTAAAAAAATTTTGGTGGGCCCGTACGTGGGTATCACGTTCACTCGAGGGCTGGGTTTAAGCTCATTAATAGTCACCTGGACGGAGAACGTCCCCGTAAAATTTCAACCCCCCAGCATTTCTGGTCTCCGAGTTAGGAGCTTACCCGTAAAAAATTTTGGTGGGTTCGTACGTGCGTACCACGCGGGTAAGAGCGCCCATTTTGGGGATGGTGGCCCGTACATGCATGTAGATTAAGTTCCCGAAATTTCAGCCCCGTAGTTTTCGTAGATCCCGAGATGAAAAATCGGCACAGACGAACACACAGATACACACACACAGACAACCCCTCGTCAATATGCGTTTTCTGCATTGC